GCCCCAGGGATTAACTACAAATGGGGATAATGGTTCCTTTTAAAGGTGATGGAAATATTCTAAAACTGGATTGTGCTGATAGCTGCACAATTCTGTAAATGTATTTAAAATCATTAAATTGAACATTTAAGTGGATGAATTTTACAGTATATGAATTACACTAAACATTTAAGCATGAAATCACTTCAATTTTTTATAAACTATTATTATTATTTTATTTATTTTTTTTTAATATTTTTATTTCTAGGAGAGAGAGAGACAGCGTGAGCAGGGGAGAGTCAGAGAAAGAGGGAGACACAGACTCTGAAATAGGCTCCAGGCTCTGAGCTGGCAGTCAGCACAGAGCCCGACGCGGGGCTCGAACCCAAGAACCGCGAGATCATGACCTAAGCGAAAGTCGGACGCTTAACCGACTAAGCCACCCAGGCGCCCCTATTATTATTATTATTTTAAATAGGCTCCATGTCCAATGTGGGGCTCGAACTCACAGTTCTGAGACCAAGAGTCACATGCTCCACTGACTAAGCCAGCCAGGTGCCTCTATACAAACTCTTTTAGAAAATACAAGAAGATGGAACATTTCACAACTAATTATGTGAGGCCAGTATAGCTGATATCAAAAACAGAAAAAAACTTCACTAAAAAAAAAAATTATAAACCAACATTATTCATAAACATAGATGCAAAATATTTAACAATCTATTAGCAAATTGAATTCAGAGGTATATAAAAAAGGATAATATATCATGACCAAATAGGGTCTATCACAAAAATGCAACTGCTATTATATACAATTTACTATCAGTAATACATTGTATATAACTGCATTTGTGTAAACTAAGTTCTAGAAGAGGCACAATGAAAATGTGAAAAAACAATGAAAAAAAATAATTGCCTAGGATGGATGGGAGAGACTGACTGGCATGAGATAGGAGGGAACTTTCTGGAAACACGGAAATGTTCTATATTGTGGGGTTTTAAGTTTTATGTGGATATACATGATTGCATTTATTGCATTTCAATATATGTGAATTTTATCAAAACTCTTTTTGGGGACTTTGGATGGCACAGTTGGTAGAGTGTGTGACTCTTGATCTGGGGTCATGAGTTTGAGCCCCACATTACCCATAGAGATGACTTAAAAATAAATAAACAAATAAACAGGGGCACCTGGGTGGCTCAGTTGGTTGCATCCAACTCCTGATATGAGTTCAGGACATGATCCCAAGTAGGGCTCCACACTGAGCGTGGAACTTGCTTAGGATTCTCTCTCTCTCTCTCTCTCTCTCTCTCTCACTCACTCTCCCTCTGTCCCTCTTCCCCACTCACACTCTAAAATTAAAAAAAAAAAAAAACACAAAGTTAAAAAAAAATTCTTTTTGTTTATTTAGTTTTGAGAGAGACAGAGAGACAAAGCACAAGTAGAGGAGGTGCAGAGGGAGAGGGAGACACAGAATCCGAATCCGAAGCAGGCTTCTGGCTCTGAGATGTCAGCACAGAGCCTGACGTGCGGCTCAAACCCACAAACTGCAAGATATGACCAGAGCCAAAGTTGGATGCTCAACTGACTGAGCCACCTAGGTGCCCAAACAACAACAAACTTTTAAAACTAACAATAACAAGGGGCGCCTGGGTGGCTTAGTCGGTTAAGTGTCCGACTTTCGCTTGGGTCATGATCTCGCGGTTCGTGGGTTCGAGCCCCGCGTCAGGCTCTGTGCTGACTGCCAGCTCAGAGCCTGGAGCCTGTTTCAGAGTCTGTGATTGACTCTCTCTCTGACCCTCCCCTACTCACACTGTCTCACTCTCTCTCCTAGAAATAAATAAAACATAAAAAAAAATAAAAAAATAAAAGTAACAACAAGTAAAAGGATGAGGAATGGGTGGAAGTATACGAAATAAGAATGAGAGAATAATGGTAAGTGTTAAAGCTGGGTGATGAGTCAATGGAAGTTCATTACACTATTACACTTTTTTGTTTTAATTTACATAATAATAAAAACCCAGAACTTAGAGGTTTTAGTTGAAAACAAGTTAAACGTTGGGCAACTGCGTGGCTCAGTCGCTTTAGTGTCTGAATTCAGCTCAAGTCATGATCTTATGGTCTGTGGGTTCAAATTCCATGTTGGGCTCTGTGCTGACAGCTCAGAGCTTGGAGCCTGCTTTGGATTCTGCATCTCCCTCTCTCTCTGCCCCTCCCCTGCTCACTCAAGTAAACATTAAAAAAAATGTTAAAGAAAAGTTAAAGGTGTCAAAAAAATTTTTTTAATGTTTTTTATTTATTTCTAGGAGAGAGAGAGAGAGAGAGAGAGAGAGAGTGAGCAGGGGAGGGGCAGAGAGAGAGGGAGTCACAGACTGAAAGAGGCTCCAGGCTCTGAGCTGGCAGTCAGCACAGAGCCCGCCGCGGGGCTCGAACCCACGAACCACAAGATCATGACCTAAGCGAAAGTCGGACGCTCAACCAACTAAGCCACCCAGGCGCCCCGTGTCAAAAAAAATTTTATTTAATAGGCTCTACACCCAACATGGGGCTTGAGCTCACAACCTGGAGAGCAACAGTCACATGCTCTACTGACTGAGCCAGTCAAATGCCCAGCCCTTTTTTTCCAAAATGTTTTGTACTTCCCACCACCATCAAAAAATGTTACAGAATTAACTTCAGCTTAACTTGACTTAACAGAGCTATAGTCACTAGTATGAATACAATGAATATACTTTATGTCTAGGTTAAAGCTAAGACAATGGTTAGGAGAACTTGCTATTACATACTCTAAGAAGAACTAGGAAAATATTTTAAGGATGAGAAATCTCAAAAATAACTTAATAGCTTATTTTTAATATCTGAAGCATTATCACTTTGAGTTTGTTTAGCCAAGATGCATAAATAGGAAGAGTGGGTGGAAGTTTCAGGAAGAGTTTTCAGCTCTATAAAAAGAACTTTAATACTGGTGATCTCCAAAAGGCAAGGGGCTGCCTCTGGAGATAACTTCCCTATCCACAGAGATGTTGAAATGTAAACTGTAGTTTTATACACTGGCAACAACCACTAGAAGAAACTATTTAGGTTCCCTCTAGTGAGGAAGTTTCTGCAGTTCTTTGAATGGCTTTCTCTTATTGTAATTTAAATTCAAAGAAAGAAGCATAGGACTTTGTAGGATTTTTTTTTAAAGAATTCATCAGAAGTGGGGGAATTGGGGTTATGTTTTTTAAGGGTACAAACTGGCAACCAGTTAAATAAATAAGTCCTGGAGGTCTTATATATAGCATAGTGATTACAGTCAACAATACTGTATTTATAAAGTTAAAAGTGGCTGAGAATACTAAAAAGTAAGTAAAATTCAGCCAAAATGCAGTGTCATGATAAAAGCTGGACCACAGCTACAAGCCCCAAACTTAATATTTTGACACGTATATGCACAAAAGTATATGCACAGTATGCACAAAACTTTTTGGAAATTACCACAAAAATGAGTCGTCTTAGATTTCTGGGCTGAAAATTTCTAGGTCAATCTTTCTTGATATAGTATTAAGACAAATTATAAAATCAATCACAACATGCCACTCTAACCTAAGTACTGTGTCTCCTTTCCTCAAAGAACACTGATTATTGTGGGCTAAGTACTATGGAGGAATCAAAGACACAAACCTTATCCAAAGGAACCTTACAATTTAACTACAAAGACAAGATTACAAAGAAATGCCTGAGAAATAAACCTTTCCCACAATGCAGTAGTTGGTTAAGTGCCAGAAGAGAGTACAGATAAGATATACTATGAAATGGAAAGAGCATTCTGCTGGAGTGGTTTCAGTTGACTGCCTTCAAGGAAGGAACTTAAAACTAGGACTAAAAGAATGTATAGAGGGAGGAAAATGGAGTGTGAAGGAGGCAGGCACCTCCAGGGTAGGAGAACAGGGTAAAGAAAGCAATGTGTTAAAGGAACTTGAAAGTAAACCTGAATTTTGTCTTCAGAGAACTCTCCAAATCCCCCCAAATGCCTTTAGCTCTCCTATCAACTTCTTCCCAAACCTTTGGATCAGTAGTTCCCCCAGTGTGGTCTTTGGACAAGTATCCTCATCAACCATCTGGGAACTTGAACTGCAAAGTCTGGATACCATCCCAGACCTAGTAAGTTAGAAAGTGGCGGAGTGGGACAGCATTCTGTGTTTTAACAAATCCTTCAGGTGATTCTGATGCACGATCAAACTGAAAACCATTGCTCCAGAACCTACCTATGTACAACTGTCCACATAGGAAAGCTATCATGTCCTTAGCGCCTAACTCGGCCACTTGGTGCAGGAAGGGAGTTAATAGTGTTAGAGTAGGCAGTTAGTAAGGCTCTAACAGGATGCCTGGAGGCCAGCAAAAAGGAAGTTATGCCCACTGTGAGGAAGTAAGAGCCCTGTCCTGGAAGTACTCTAAAACAAAACCAAAAGTGACCGCCATCTTGACAGCTGAGTGACCTAAGCTGACAGTAGTATCATTAGCATTGCGGTTTTGAGGGAACTCCGCCTCTGAAATCCGCGCGAGAGTTCCTTATGAGGTAAATAAGGCAAGAAAAAGGGCAAAACGCAGATTCCTGAAGACCACCCTGCTTCCAAGAAATCTTCACTTCAAATAACGAATATTCCCTTTGTTAACTGTCAATAAAAGAGAAACGCAAAACCAGTGAGCTCAGCTATTCCTTGAGCGCACCCACTCCCGCATCTCAAGAGTGTACTTTCACTTTAATAAACTTTCCTGCTTGTACTGCTCATCTACTACGTTGTGTCAGTCTTTGAATTCTTTCTCCTGGGCAACCAAGGGCCTCCAGCGACATCTTTTGGAGGGGGTAGGTCAAGGCCTCAGGGCCCAAGGTCCATCTGGCAACAATAGTTCAGTCTCTGGCACAATTTATTTCGCTTTCTTTTCCAATACATCTTGTTCCAACAACTACCCGCTACATCTTTGCCTCCCGTGTTACTTTACCCTCACAGCGCGCGCTCCCGCCCCTCCGTCGCCCTACCTCAGTCTCAGAGGGGACGCGGTGCCGGCAAGGAGGGGAACTGTCCAAGGAGACAGGAATAGATATGGCGCTTGCCCAGAGGCCGCCCAAGAGCAGAACGCTTCGGACCCACAAAGAACTGCTCCAGCGCCACTGGCTAGGGCAGGGGCCTGAGTCAGGTGAGACGGCTCCTCCACCCCACTCGGCCGCCATCTTCGGGCCGAGCGTCGTTACCATGGAGTACGTGACGTCTCAGCCCCATCTCTAGTCCCGCCCCTTGGGGCAAATGGTACAGTCGGCGGAAAGACGCTTTTTGATTGGTTAGCATCACCCGGCCAGTTCACCGCGGATAAGAACTTCATCACGCCAGTCGGACCCCAATGCGCGAAGCCGGCCAATAAATGCCGTTTAGCGGCCCACTTTTGATGGGGTGTGGGAAGACTAGTGGGTGTTGATAGTAAGGGGGTGTTGATAGTAAGGGGGTGTTGACATGAAGCCCATTCTCTTCGTTATTCTCGAGAAGACTGGCCTCCACTAGGTGCCAGGTAGCTTAATCTGCTGCAGAATCTTTACTGGTTAGCCCTCTTGTATAAAAAAAATGGAATGGAATTTCCATTTTTATTTATCCTCAGCCACCAATTTTAGGCCCATTTCTTAAGTCATTTCTTGTAAAATCAATGAGTGCTCTACTATTCAACCTCATCCCTTAACTTCTATAAAAATCAGTAATTATGGGTATCTGGCTGGTTCAGCAGGTAGAGCATACTACTGAATCTCGGGGTCCTAAGTTCAAGCCCCACATTGGATGTGTAGCCTACTTAAAAACAAAACAAAAATTGCAACTGCATTTAACCCAGGAAGAGACTAGGTGGACCCTTACCATTAAGTAAACTCTACCTTTAAACTAGGCCATAACTATAAAAAATTGAAAATTGGGAGATTTTCTTGTGGTTCTTTTAACGATTAAAACTAGTAACTGGAAGCACTGAATTGGAACAGTCATTTAACAGGAACTGAATACTGTCAATTACTATGCTAAAAACTGTAGGAGTAGAAAAGAAAAACCCTAAGAATGTACAACACATTTGTAATGATCATATACTCAAATTCAAGGGTGGGGTATTCTACCACTAATGGCTCATTACATAATATCTATCATGCCACAACTAGTGGAACTGGGATTCAAAACCAAATTAATCACATTCAGGACATGTGCTCTTTCTGCTACAAGATCACAAAAAAGTTTCTGGTTTTCAGTGTTCTGTTGGGGAGAGGCTGTTTCAGTGATCCTGCCAACAAAATGCTAGCCAATTTCATTTCTCTGAAACATGGGATTTCTTCAATGGGAACTTTGACTTGAGAACTATCTTCGCACTTAGCAAACCTCAATATTTGGGAACAGAAATACATAATGCATCCTCATTTACAAGTGCCATATTATTACTAAAGGATGAATTTGCATGCAAGGCTGTTTCATCACTTCCATTTACTCAGGTCATCCTAAGGATTCTCAGCCTTTTCTCTGCTCAAATGCCCACCCACCACTTGTTTACCCACCTCCATTACTCTGATCATCTATGCCACTCAGAATACCATATTCATTTAACTTAGGTGGCAGGCATTATGAGGTTTCCTCTCCACATAAAGTACCATCTGCCTTTCTGGACATATTCATAGCAGAGTATCCTATAGCTTCCTCAAACTCATCATTTCCCCTCACAAAACCAATCTGGTTCCCCAACTTTATAAATGCACTATTACTCACCAAGCAACCAAAGCTAGCACGTTACCCATGAAGACTCCTGAACTAGTCTTTAAATTCTAAATCCTCAGGTACAATATACAAGACCTTGCATAAAGTGGCATTTCCTAGGTTTCTACTCACTTTCCAATTCTTGCCCACAAGTTAACTTTCCTCAAATGCCTTCTGCTTTCAAAAAAATCTTCATGCCGATTTTTCCTGAGATACTTCCCCAAGCACTTCTTCCTCTACCCGGCCACCCCAAGAGTAACAAGTACATCTACTTAAATGGCAGAACAAAGTAGTTGGCTTTAGACTATGTTTTTCAACAACTAAACCTCACTGGTTTAAGTCTGAGATAGGTATGTCCTGCCGTTTACCTGAGTTTCCAATGTCAATTTCCTTAGGATCCTAATAAGCAAATTGTGACCATGAAATGCACTGCTTAGATTGTGAAGAAAACATGATTAACATTGGACCCAGACCGCTTCTGACCCATCCACATCTTGCCTTGAAGCCATTCTTCCCATATAAGGCCAAATGACACTGGCAAAACAAACACAAGGCCATTTCTGTGAAACCTGGGTTCTTCCTTCCCAACAGTAACTTTGACTTGAGGATGGCTCCCACTGGACTAAGCACACCTTTATTACTGTATGTTACTAGTGCCTAATCCTTTCCTGGAACTTCTCCTTTAATCCTCCATTCTCACTCCACCACCACCCACTTGGCATACTAATTATTTTTTGGCATCTGCTTCTTAGAGAACTCAAATACAATTAAAAACTGTAAAAGGGACTCCGTTTGACCAAGTATCTTGTTGATATATTCAGTGGAATGTCAAAACAGTGGTTAATACAAGGACTAGCTAGCTGCTACTGCAACAATCAAATTTCTACAGCCACTATACAGCCAAGGCAAATTGATGCCTTGGTACAAACTTTTATTTCAACACATTCAGAGACAAAAAAAAGTCTGCAGAACTGCTTTAGTTTCCCTTTGTCTGAAACATGTTACCAAGGAAAGCTACACCACCTAGGCAGTAACGCCCCTGCCCCATAACCTGCCAAAAAGTACTTTTTCCTAAAGCACGTGTTGCTATTTTGAGATTTTTAACTTAAAACATTACTACCAGTCAAGTGTTATATACTGGAATACTTTGTCTAGACATAGACATGAAGGTTATCTTATTCCTGCCTATACATAACATCAATATAATCTCCAAGTTCTCCCAACTACTATTTTTAAGCCACAAGTTTTCCAAGCAATCTATCTTGAACAAGTACATACATTAACAAGGTAATCTCAAGGCCATCAAAAAGGATTTTAAGTTTCTTTTATGGACTTTCAATCTAATGAGGAAGACAGTTGTATGTAATAAACCCAGTACCAAAGTTGAAATAATCGGTTACGGGGAAGACTTATTGGTCCATTTTAATGTGGAAACCTAGAAAAGTGTCATCACGTATATTTGTACTGGCTAATATTAGTGGATCCTGTCCTTCCTGGAATACACTAACTCCATCTGTACAAAAGCTTTTCAGAGAACATGTGCTCTAGCACTTTAAACCTTCAAGATACTCCTTCTCAATGCCTCTAACTAAAGCTTACTTGTCCCCCTTCCCAACCATGTAAGGCCTTATATGAAGATAAGCATATCCTATCTTCACTTAAACTTTCCTATTGTCTAATCTCTGTAATTGCCATTACAAAGAACTCCCTGGCTTCCTTGTACTCTGAAAATGGTAGGTAATTGCCGCCATTTAAATATAGCAACCGAAGTGCAGAAAAAAAAATTTAAGCTATTTAACAAAAATACAAGAGAACAAATCTACACCTTTATTTATTTACTTTTCAGTTAGTTTAAATCCTTGAGGGGTACAGCATCTAGGAGAAAAAAAGAAAACACATCATCATTAGATGCATATAATATACAAATTCATAAATGTTATGAGTACAATGTGGAAATCTCCTATTGTCCTATTACTCATCTCTAGAACGGATCCAATGACTTCTGTTCTAGTGGGAAGAGATCTAAGTCTTTTCTTTTTTGTATATTTTTTTAATGTTTATTTTTGAGAGAGACAAAGAGAGTGTGAGCCAAGGGAGGGGTAGAAAGGGAGACACAGAATCTGAAGCAGGCTCCAGACTGAGCTGTCAGCACAGAGCCTAACACAGGGCTCAAACTCAGGAACAATGAGATGATGACCTGAGCAGAAGTTGATGCTAAACTGACTGAGCCACCCAGGCACCCAGAGAACTAAGTTTTTATAGTGATCTAGATGAACACCCTTTGTACTGGGAGCACTGAAAAGCCGATCAATTTTGTTTTTTAAAAAAAGCTTATTTATTTTGAGAAACTATAAGTAGGGGAGGGGCAGAGAAACAGAATGAGAACCCCAAGCAGGCTCTGCACTGTTAGTGCAGATCCAATGCAGGGATCAATTTGCAGGGCTTGAACTCATGAACCATGAGATTACAACCAAAGCCAAAGTCACTTAACCAACAAGTGAGCCACCAGGTGTCCCCAATTTTGCTGCTTCTGGTAACAGATTAAAAACTTCGTGGTAAGAAATCTCAATGGCTCAGCAGAGTTGAAAAGTACTTTCTGCTGTTTCTCCCTCTCTCTGACCCTCCCCGACCCTCTCCTGCTCACGCTCTCTCCTAGAAATAAAAAAAATATTTAAAAAAACAAAAAGGTGGGGGTGCGCCTGCGTGGCTTAGTCGGTTGAGCGTCCGACTTTCGCTTAGGGCATGATCTCGCAGTTCGTGGCTTCGAACCCCGCATCCCGCTCTGTGCTGACTGCCAGCTCAGAGCCTAGAGCCTGGAGCCTGTTTCAGAGTCTGTTTCTCCCTCTCTCTCTGACCCTCCCTTGCTCACGCTGCCTCGCTCTCTCCTAGAAATAAATAAACATTTAAAAAAAAAAAGAAAGTACTTTCTGACCCCCAAAATACTGACAGGTCTACTCAAAATGAACACTAAGGAAAATAGGAACTACTTTAGAAAACCAGAGCATCTAAGGGTGCTTGAGTGGCTCAGTTGGTTAAGTGTCAAACTCTTAGCTTCCATGATGGGCTCTGTATGGATAGCTCGGAGCCTGCTTGGGATTCTCCCATCTGTTTCTCCCCTGCTCACATTCGCTCTCTCAAAATGAAAAAGGTGGGGGGGTGCCCAGGTGATTCAATCAGTTAAGCAACTGACTCTTGGCTCAGGTCATGATTTCATGGTTCATGAATTTGAGCCTATGGGGCTTCAATGCTGACAGCTGGGAGACTGCTTGGGATTCTGTCTCTCCCTCTCTCTGCCCCTCCCCTGCTTGTGTTCTATTAAAATAAATTAACTTATAAAAAATTCTTTAATTAAAAAAAAAAGAAAGGAAAGAAAATCAGAGCATCTGGACTCCAAGATTTGAGCCGGAGCCCTGAGATCAATAAACATGAGCATCGGTTTTCTTTTTTAAATATTTTTATTTATTTATTTATTTATTTATTTATTTATTTATTTCTAGCAGAGAGAGAGAGACAGAGACAGCGTGAGCAAGGAAAGGTCAGAGAGAGAGGGAGACAGACTCTGAAATAGGCTCCAGGCTCTGAGCTGGCAGTCAGCAGAGCCCAACACGGGGCTTGAAGCCACGAACCGCGAGACCATGACCTAAGCGAAAGTCGGACGCTTAACCGACTAAGCCACCCAGGCGCCCCAAAGCATCGGTTTTCCTTGTAAGTAATAGCAACTATTTTCTACATTTTTAATAAATGTTTATTTTTGAGAAAGAGGCAGAGCAAAAGCAGGAAAGAGGCACAGAGAGGGAGACAGAATCCAAAGCAGGCTCCAGGCTCTGAGCTGTCAGCACAGAGCCTGAAAGAGGGATCAAATGGTGAAATCATGTCCCAAGCTAAAGTTGGTGCTTAACTGAGCCACCCAGGCACCCCTGTAACACCTATTCCACCAAGACTGTCACATAAGCATCGACTTTCTACTATAAAATACTATTCTAATAAGACTGTCCTGATAAAAAGATGGGAATGTTATGAATTATGCCAGGAAAAGGTGAATTTTTCTAACCTTCACTTGTATCCAATAAATCTTTGCTGCCAGAAAATTGTTCATTTAAATACTATCCCCAACCCCTACAGCTTTAGCAAAATCTGAAACCTAGACGTGACCGACTCTAACACGCTGCCTCTACTTTCCCTCTAATGCCAAGAATCTGATGTTCATAATACATCTACACAATAGCTGTTGATTTTGCAGCACCATCCACTGATAACACTTTAATAATTGTACTTACCACACGGATTCTGTGGCCAATGGCTTTAGCAGGAAGGTTGCTTCGGAATTTTGCACGAACCATGCCACTGTTTCCATGAGCACGAGTTACTTTTCCCCAGATTACTCTGGTTTTATTCGGTTTGCCACCAGGAGTCACTGTGTTGCTGATAGTAAAAGGGGAGAAGAGAGATGAGAAAGATGCAACCAGTCAAATGTGATACAAATTCAAGATCAACTCTTGACCAGGGGCTCACAAAGGTCACCAGAGAAACTTAAAAAAGTCTGGGGCATCATTCATGCAACAAGTCAAGTACCTACTATATGCCAGCCACTTTTGTAAGATGTTTGTGTGTCTGGAGAGGGAGAAATTTCTTTGGTAATTTTAAATAGCCAGGAAAGGCCTCACTGAGAAAATAACACTGAACAAAGACTGGAAGGTAAGAATAGCCTGTGTTAACCTGAGGAAGCTGTGTTCCCTGGCTTGTGGAAAAGCAGAAGGTATGGAATGAATCCTAGCTAGGTTAAGAGTAGAACTAGGGAACCCTGAGTGAAGCCTCCTTCATAACCTCTGCTTTCACTAAATGAGACAGGGAAAGCTGGAATTTGAGCAATATACGGATGACCTTAATTATAAAGGATCAGTTGCAGGAAGGAAAGGGGGAGGGGGCAAAGATGAAAGCCATGTCCCCACAGACTTCAAATGGTGTGAAATGAGTTTAAGAATCAATCCTTAGGGTGCAATCTCAGGGTTCATGGGTTCAGGCCCAGGGACCGGCTTACAGCTCAGAACCTGCTTCAGATTCTGTGTCTCCCTCTCTTACCCCTCCCCTGCTCATGCTGTCTCTCTCTCAAAAATAAACATTAAAAAAAAAAAAGCCTAATATAAGGGGCTGGTTCCTTCCTTGAAACAATTAACAGCTGTAATTTTCCTAAGTGCAGAAGATTCCTAAATCTAATACTACCTAGACAAGGAACATCCTTCTATACCCTCCAGTGAAGATCATCAAAGATCCAAAGTGGAAAAAAAGTACCAACTACTTTACCAACATTTTTTATTAAGTCTTCTTTGAACAAGAAAACAAGACAATTCTTAATTAAAAATTTTAAAGGCATTAATATTATAAACTTACTTCTTTGCTTTGTATACATAAGCACATCTCTTGCCTAGATAGAACTCAGTTTCATCTCGGGCATAAACACCTTCAATTTTAAGAAGAGCTGTGTGCTCCCTCTGGTTCCTGAGACCCCGTTTATAGCCAGCAAAAATGGCTTTGGACCACAACCTAAAACAAAATATAGAGTAACAAGTTGTTAAAAGATCTCATTTCACTTCAGTCGTAAGGTCTGACTTGTAATGAACCCTACTTAAAAGCTATCAGCAAACATCTAGTTTTCTCCCATTAGTCTTAAGCTCACGTTCATCTTCACGCTTAATAGACAAAAAACTACAAATACAAAGCAATTAAATTTAAAACTTGTACCTTCCAGACATATTTGTCGTTTCAGGAGTCCTGTTCCCAGCAGGCCTTAAGCAAACAAACAACCAGTTTAAAATCTTGCAAAACACGTTTTCCACCAAGTCCCCTCTCGTTTCTTAAACTGGTCAAACAAATCCCCTTTTTGCTCGGCAATATCATGTTAAGAGTATGGGGTAACGTAAGGATACCATGAACTCTACTAGAAGCAGTCGGGCAAGACTTCCCAGCTTCAGACAATGGCTGATAACGGAGCAAACTCCAAAACGAGGACCAAAACGAAAGTGCCAAGATTCTAGAGTGAAAGAAATAGCTCCCAGAAACTCCGAAAGGGAGCCCTAAAAAATATTCATGCCACGATCAGTAGAAAAAAAAAGATCGAGGAAGCAGAGAAACACACAGAAAGTAAAACTAAAGCACTGAATGGGAAAGAAAAGCTGAGCAAACGGGAGACTGTAGACAAAACCTGGGTTGGGGTGGTAACAAACAGAAAAAGAACTCATACTAAAGGAGCCACTGCCTCAAACGGGGGGAATCTCAAGCGGACAAAGTGCATCTATTACTCCGCTAAGGCCCAGAGAGCAACAGATGACGGGAAGGCGCGTTTTCCGGGCGTCCGGGGACCAGCACCATCAATCCCACATCTCCTCAATCCTGTCTTCCCTGCTGCTGGAATCCACAGAAATCACTGGCTGGCAAGGTCTCCGAGCCGCACCAGTGTCTTGCCGAGGCATACTGTTCAGCTCACCCCACTTATTTGCACCCAAAGTTCAAAAGCCGGAGCCCCGCTCACCTCCACGGGTTCAAAGATGGCGGAAAGAGAAAGGCGAGGCCCCACCGCGTGGCCTTATGGGATAAACACTTCTCCGCCCCGCCCTCAGTTTAGGCATCTTCCGCGACCGCCAAAAAAAATAAATAAATAAAGGCCTCAGTAATTGCCTTCTGACGGAAACAAACCGCATTCACGAGAACTCTTACAATTCTTTCCCTCTATCATTTTGTCTTGTAAGCTACAATATATATTATCTTGAAACAGAGTAAGGCACGATGGTAGCCAGCTAGAGGAGGAGAAAAAAAGGTCCCCTGAGGTTTAGCGTTGCCAGAGAAACACCATAGCTTGGTTCCTTAGGTGGAAAAAGTGAAGCTGGTCTGGAGGAAATCTACCCACCTCCAGTACCCCAGATTTGATTCGCCAACTTGGGGGTATCATTCTGGAAAGGAGTAGGGTAAACGGAGCTTCTTGGATCCTAAAGTGGAAGAGAAAAGCCAGGAGTACGAAGGCAGGAACTCTTTACGTTGTCCCCCCTTACTCTTTTTCTCGTACTCCTTTATCTCTGAAGAAATGACCTAAGTTTTTGCCCGCATCCTTCGTTTTGACTACAGAGTGAGTAGGACTGCCCAGAAAAGGCCTTATTGCGTTTTACGGAGAGCTCATTCAGCTGCCAAACCCGTGGGGCGCCCAGCACCGTGCCCACACGAGTTGGGTCTTCAGAGGTTTACACTGCCTAATTATTGCACATTTACTTGGATTTCTCTGTGGATGACATTCGTTTATTCAACAGTTGATTGAAGGGCTACCGTGTACCAAGTTTTGTTGCCTCGGAGATTACAGCAGTAAACAAAACTACGGGTCTCAACCCCCGTGGAGCTTACGTCCTAGAGAGAGAGCAAGGCATTAAGCAAGTAAAATATATGGCACATTAGAAGCCAATGTGAGAAAATTTCTCTATGGAGGAAAAAAATTAAGCAGGGAGGCCAGTGTAAAGAAGGCTTTTACTCTGAGAAGAGAAACCATTTGAGGGCTCTATAATAAGGAGTGACTCAATTAGACTTAACATTTTAACACGGTTACTCTGTTGAGACTGAAGGGAAGCAAGGGCACCAGCAGGGAGAACAACCAGGCTATTGTGATGATCCTGATAGGTTATGTCATGTAGACAGGAGTGATAAGTACTGCAATTCTGAATATATATATATATTTTTAATATATTTTAAATGTAGCACTGACAGGGTTTGCTGATGGGTAAGGAATGAGAGAGAAAAGGATGACTCCAAGTTTTTATAAAATAGATATCTATAAGTCATATTTAAAATCAGATTCTTTCTTAAATACGATACATACGATACGGTACATACGATAGAATGTATGTACCTTATAATTCACTCCATCCATCCAGTTTTCTTTATCCCAGAAATACTACAGTCCTACCATTAGGCATATTAGAAATCTAAGTGTAAATAGTCCTGGGAGGAATAACACATTAAATGTTGGTTTCATTTCCTTGTTCATTCATTTCCTCTACAAATACTTATTGAGCACAGGGCCTGAAACAGGCTATAATAGTGAGTGTCCTTACCCTGGTTACTGCTTTCATGACACTTAACAGTCCAGTGGTGAGGAATGACAACATTACAGATTGTGAAGAGAGCTCTGCAGGAAAATAAGAGTGCAGTGGGCACTTGAACAGGGGAATCCTGATCCAGACTGATGTCACTTGCAGAAGGCATTTTTCAAACTGCACCTGATGGCCCAGTAGTGTATTGTGATTATAACACTTTTTATGCAGAGGCACCTGGTTGGCTCAGTTAGTAGAGCACGTGACTTTAATGTTTATTTTGTTTTTAAGTGAGAGAGCACACAAGAGCATGTGAGTTGGAGGGGGTGCAGAGAGAAGGAGACACAGAATTTGAAGCAGGCTCTAGGCTCTGAGCTGTCAGCACAGAGCCCATCACAGAGCTTGAACTCATGAACTTGTGAGATCATGACCTGAGCCAAAGTGAGACGCTTAACCAACTGAACAACCCAGGCATCCCTAGACATTGGGACTCTTGATCTCAAGGTTGTGAGTTCAAGCTGCATGTTGGGTATATAGATTACCTGAAAGTAATAAGTAAAATACTTTTTACACGAAATATGACAGAATCAGAAGTATCAGAATGTATAACACATGTTAAGGGTAAATGTTTTTATGAAATTTTTGTTTTAGCTATTTGCACATGTATATATATTTTGTATACTTGTGTGTGTGTGTGTGTGTGTGTGTGTGTGTGTATGTGTATACACACATAGATCATTGCATCAGTCAGTATTGCCCTGGATGGAAACAATAATAGTGTTCAGAATGTAATAAAAGGTCTGCTTACAAAAATGTTGGCAGAAGTGAAACTATAAGGGATGATTTTAGTCTCCGGGGACATGGAGCAGAAATAGTTACCTAAGCCCCCAAGAGAGGGCAATATGGAGATGATTGCTTGACAGGTGCTATGGTCTCTGACAGAGAAACAGCCAACCAATGGTGATCTGGCAGGGAGGGAACTGGGAAGATAAACATTTGATCTCACTCCTACACTTAGAGTCTCTGTGGAATCTCCTGTTAATGCACTCCATATGGTCAGCCTCTCAGACACAGAAAAATGGTGCAGATTGGATTTAGAGCAAATGACAGATACCCGGCAAAATGCCGCTGATTTAAGCTGGTATCTGATCGATCAGTGGGACTTTATAAAGTGAAGAGGTGAGGGGAAAAGTGGTTCAAATAGAAGGAATAGGGGCGCCTGGCTGGCTCAGTTGGTTAAGTGTCTGACTTCGGCTCAGGTCATGATCTCACGGTTTGTGGGTTCAAGCCCCGTGTCCTGCTCTATGCTGACAGTTCAGAGCCTGGAGCCTGCTTTGGATTCTGTGTCTCCCTCCCTCTCTGCCCCTCCCCTACTTGCACTCTGTGCCTCTCTCTCTCTCAAAAATAAATAAACGTTAAAAAAATTAAATCTTAGCGTGTGCAAAGATCTGAGTTGGAAGGTGCCGTGATTCCATGGAAGAACTAAAAGAAGCCCATCAAGGCTGGAGCCCTGAGAACAAGAAAAAGACAGTGCCGCTCTTTGGTCTCAGTTGTGGAAACAAGATGATGAAGGGGACGTCATCCTTTGGAAAGCATTGCAATAAGACACACACATTGTGCCACCGCTATAGCTCTAAGGCCTACCACCTGCAGAAGTTAACCTGTGGCAAATGTGGCTATCTTGCCAGATGGAAGAGAAAGTATAACTGGAGTGCCAAGGTTAAAAGATGGAATACCACTAGGACCAGTCAAATAAGACCCCTAAAAATTATATACTGCAGATTCAGGCATGGGTTCCGTGAAGGAACAACACCTAAACCCAAGAGGGCAGCTATTGCAGCATCCAGTTCATCTGAAAGATTTCAACGATTAGTCACAAGATAAATGTTCTGGTTTAAAAAAGGGGGGGAGGGGCAGTGCCAAGTGAATATGTGAGGAGGAACAGAGCAGGGACAAATCGTGCAGGCCTTATGGGTCAAGTTTAGAATTTTAGCTTTTATCCTAAGGCAATGGGAAACCATGGAAGGGTTCTAAGGAGAGACATGATCAGATTTCCTGTTTTAAAAATTGATTTTAATTTTTTATATTTTCAATTTTTCATTTAAAAAAGATTGCTTCCAATTTGGGGGCTGTTAGAGTTCTTCAAGCAAGAAATAATAGCCAGGTCCAGCATAGTGTTGGGGGATATGGAAAAAGAAAAAAGAATCCACAGGGCTTAGTGATGGCTTGGATTGGGAAATGCTGAGGTCAAGATGAAGGAGGAAGCAGGAATGACTCCTAGATTTCTATCGTTGAGGAATGAAAAACCAGAACAGCATGAACACAACGAATAGTGCATTAGCATAGCCCTATCTTATTGCATGAAGCACATTTACCTATGCCCCAAGCCTAAAAAAAGGAAAAATAAACAACAACACAACAAAAGAACAAAATCTCCTTAACACCATGATACTTTCTCCTAAGAATGCCCTTGTACCAGAAAATTTGGCTAGGTCGGAGTATCCTTTATTCAGTTTATATAAAGATTCTATCTTAAGTGTTTTCATTTTTACATATGAGACTTCTGTTTTGTGAAACATACCACATTTATACAAAATAATATTGGAAACTTAACATTCACTATTCATTCAACATAGAGCAAAATTCTCCATAGGATGTTCTTATTATAAAGCTCATTTAAGCACCAAAGGGTTTTTGGCTTATGGAAATGTAATATCTTGATAGCAGTAGTAAACTACTTTTAGGATTTTCAGGATTAATGTAGCTTTGCTTTTTTTTTTTTTTTAAATATAATTTATTGTCAAATTGGCTTACATACAACACCCAGTGTTCATCCCAACAAGTTAATGCAGCTTTCCTAAATACAATCTTTGTGTATTCTAAGCCCAAGTGCAATAAATTTTGTTATCCGACAGATCAGGGAAATGAAATGATCTAATTAAACATTTTAGTAATCAGAATAACAGAAAAGTAAATCTATTATATAAATATTGCCAATTAAAAAGCAGAATATAATATAATATGAAAACCATGTTGTATATAATTCACCATAAGAACAAACTCAAAGATTTCATTTACCAATAATTTCATTTGTCAGTAATTAAATTGACTACTTAATAGTCCTGCATCACATGATGTCAGAGGTTTTTCCATTGCTGGGACTGCTCTGATAAGCATAAAAAAGAGATATGCCACAGCACTCATAATTCTTTAATTTCTTCTTAATGAAAGGATAGCAATAATTTAAATGTCACTCAACACTCCCTTAAACTAATCTCAGTGTTTTTTTCCCATTTTAGGTGACTGCATTTCTTGTGAGATTGTACGTGTACCATGGAAGTTACAAGTAGCTTAAGAGGAATGGAAGAGTATGTTCAAAATTCCAGTTTATTTTGTGTATGTGTGCATGTGTATAAACATATTTGAATTATGCCTTATGCTAAATTTATTTATTTATCTATTGCTGTGTAATAAATTATCCCAAAGCTTAGTAACTTAAAATACAAACTTTTATTATTTCACACAATTTCTGTGGGTCAGGAATTTGGGAGCAGCTTAGCTGAATGGATGGTGCTGGCTTGGGGTCTGTCATAAGGCTGAAATTGCCCGGGACTGTAATCATCTGAAAATTTGACTGGGGCTGCAAGATTCACTCCCACATAGCTGGGGAGTTGATGCTGGCTGTTGGTAAGAAGCCATAGTTCTCTCCTTCACAGACTTCTCCAAAGGGCTGTTTAAGTGTCCTCATGACAAGGCAGCTGGCTTCTCACAGAGTGAAAGGTATGAGACAGTAAGAGAGAAGCTGCAATGTCTTTTATCACCTAACCTTGGAACCCATAATATCCTACTGGTTACATAGCTTAGTTAGTCCTATTAATATGGGAGAGAAAGGGCATGAATACAAGAAGGTAAGACTCATATGGGCCCACTTTGGAGACTGGTTACTACATTTTGTTTTTGTTGTTAACGTATTTTTTAAATCCTTTTTTTTTTCTTTAAACTGTGTACCAACCTGGGGCTCAGACTCACAACCCTAAGATCAAGAGTCACATGCTCCACAGACTGAGCCAGCTGGGTGCTCCTGCTATATTCCATTTTTTATTAATCATGAGACACTTTTGGTTAGCATCTAAAGATGTTGCTAGAAAAAAAGTTAATTTGGGTTCAAATTCAAATTGGTAAGGCATAGCCAAATAGTATGGGTTACACAGAATTTTACCCAGCAAGTGGCTTGTCTTTGGTTAGTCAGAATGTCACAGGGAGATATTTAGCAGAACCACATGTGAACTACTTTTGTTCTTTATCTTGGTTATATTATTAGACAATATGGCCTTCACAGGAGCCAATCTATATGTTCCCTGTGCTTTTGAGTTTATGCAATTTTTAAACATTTGGTGGCCGACTTTTTTTTACTTTTCTTTTTTTCTGTTTCTTTAGAGACCAATTAGAAGCCTCAAATCTTCAATCAAAAGTCTGGCATTCTGAGATGACAGTGTCAGTAATAGGTGAGCCACCTGCTGCTGTAGAGGAAGAAAAAGAAACAGCTGAAGAAACAAACATAGACATCATCCCGGAAATCATAGAACCACTCTCCATTCTAGATGTGCTGAGGATCTCTGCAGTTCTGGAGGATACCACAGATCAGCTCTCTATTCTGAACTACATCATGCCAGTTCAGTATGAAAGAGGACAAAGTGTCAGTGTGGTATATACACTCACCATGATTTGATTTTTGCTTTCTTTTCTTTTTATTTCTCTATCATGTACAGTATTTATGCCATTAAATTTAACACAGGAAATAGCACCTTTATCTGAGATTAAAAAGGCTGTAATAATTACCTGAGATATGTACTCTGAATCGATGGGGTGAGATACCATTAGCTCAAGAGACATTGCCAGTCAGAGTATCCTTTTCTTCTGATATGTTGGCATCATTCAAAAAGGCCTATAGTTAAATCAGTATATGGTGTATGTACTGAGAGTAGCCAGATTACTGAGTTGTCGTACCTGTCTTCTATTCCTTATCTGCTGAAAGCTAATTGAACAGTAGTGGGAGGAAATTCAGTTGGACCTTCTTAATGTTTCTTTATTCTAAAATGACTTTGTTATGTTGTTGAATTTGTTACAACCTGCCTTTTGGATTTCCAGCTACACCATTATGTCAGCCATTTTCAGTGGTGTTATGGACTCCTCCTCAAAGGGCTATCGAATTATCAAAACATTCAACTTGATAGCAAAATTTTCACAAATTCTCAAGCTCTTATAAATTTAAATAACTTAGGTTGTAGTGTAAAATGAAAAAAATTTATAAGTACAAATACACATTTATTCAGCAAAATTACCTTATATGATTTGTACAGAATATACTAATTCTGATTCTATGACAGATGAAAATTGCTACACAAACAACATAGTTCATTGCTTTCCATGTCTAATGGAAAAGAAGTCCATATTTATTGTGACTAGATAATTACATTTAATTTCACCTTACAGTTTTTAAATAATAATTATTATGATGATATGTATAGTCTGGGTTTGTTAAACTTTTATTAAAGTTTGAAAGTTATACAAAATTTTAATAGAACACTGGATTTGGAGCAGCACCTGGGTGGCTCAGTCAAAGTGTCCAACCATTGGTTTTGGGTCAGATCATGGTACATGAGTTTAAGCCCCACATCTGGCCTTGCACTGATGCTGTGGAGCCTGCTTCAGATTCTCTCCCTCCCTGTCTGTACCTCCCCTGCTCATTCTCTCTCTCAAAAAACTTAATAAAAATTACTTTAAAGAATACTGGATTTGGAGCCAGGAGCTCTTTGCAGTTTAGTTGAGTACTGTCAGTTCATTTCACTTTCTTGGTCTTCATGTTCTCATTTGTAAAATGTGATGAAGTGTGTGTGTGTGTGTGTGTGTGTGTGTGTGTGTGTGTGTTTTAATTTTTTTTTTTTTTTAAGTAATCTCCACACCCAATGCGGGACTCAAACTCATAGCCATGAGGTCAAGAGTTGCATGCTCCACTGATTGAGCTAGCCAGGTTCCCCTAAAGTGTAATAGAGTTTTAGCTAAGTGATCCACATAGTCCCTTCCAATGCTAACATTCTGTGAGTTTCAGGTTAGTTTTAAAACAACATTAACAGGCTTAGCTATAGAGAACATTGAGGGTTGATGGAAGGAGGTGGGCATGGGGATGGGCTAAATGGATAATGGGCATTAAGGAGGGCACTTTGTGTTGAGCACTGTATGTTATATGTAAGTGGTGAATCACTAAATTCTATACCTGAAACCAGTTTTACCATATGTTAACTAACTAGAATTAAAAAAAAAAAAAAAAAAAAAAAACTTGGAAAAAAATTACATTAATGAGATCAGGAATTTTGTAACAAATTAATTTTTTATCAATTTATGAAAGGCAAAGAGATCAAAAACCCAAGAACTAAGCCTTTCAATGCATTTAGAATAAGAGTCTAATTCATACATTAAGCTAGATAATAAATAGTAAAGATTCTAGGGTTTCCTTCTTATTTATTGTCTCCTTCAGTGACAATCAAAAATAAAAAGATAGTTAACAAGATAAAACCTTATGAGACTTATCAGTGATATTCTCAGGCTAATAAAAGGTAATTTGCCTTCATAGAAACTCAAGAGAGAATGAAAAACCCAAATCTATGAACAATTCAGCAGCAGTCACTACTTCACTAATTAAAGAACAAAATTTTTGCACTATTTTATTCTGATTTGTGATAGTGATCTTCACCCGCAAAATTTTCTGACTTAACAGAGGCCCCTGCTTGTGATTTTATGGTAGTGTACTCTTATCTTGATTGATAGAAGCTTAACAGCTCTTTTGTCATTATAAGTTAGTTCTACAACTTTATGAAATTAAATTATGAATCTCTTAAGATAATTCTTTTACTTCATAATAGTACTTCTAGCTCATTAATTTTACAATGTCATTGCCCTGTAAGGGCATAGGATTATATTTTAAGTCCTTAGTATATACATGGATGTTTTCTTTCTCCAAAGGCTTCATATTGTTTAGCCTTTCCAACAACCTTGGGATGAAAGATTAGTTAGCATTATCACTCTTTTATAGACATTTTTATAGCTAAGGACATCTCCAAATAGATTTTAATTTGTAAAAGCATGAAGTAGCATAATGAAAAATACACTAATGTATCAGATTCTACCAAAAGTGGGAGTAAGTGGACCAAAATTTGGGAAGAGCTTTCCTGCAGGGATATTGTTTCTCTTACCTTTTCCCTTAGAGTCTAATACCCTACCTTGTACATAGTGTGTGCTATATATAAATATTTTTTAGCGAATGAACTAAAATAATTAGCTAGTTCCCTTAAATTCTCTCTTTTAAGGGAAAATTCATATTTATTTGTAGTAATCAGTAAATCAGGCTTCTTGACACATTTGCTTCCTTTTCCAGATGCACAAGCATAAAGGTAAAGGAAAAACAGGGAAATAGAAAAACAGAGCCTCCTAGGCCTTATGCTGTCCCCTTCCCTACCCTTCCCTACCTAGGTAAAATCTAAAAGAATAACCACCCTTCAGGGTTTCCTTACGTCTAGGTAAGTTTCAGTTCAATTGTTAAAACACTACACTTCTATTCTCTTTGTAGCCAAATTAATTTTAATTTAAAAGACATTTTAAAAACTTAATTCTTATTTAAGGTGGCATTTTGTTTTGTACTTGCTTATAAATGTTTTCCTCAGATCTGAATCTTTGCTTATTGTTGATGTAAAGAGAAATGTCGTTGAGTCTGTGTTTATTAACCATTCATGGATAGTTTTTAACATTTCTGGGCTAGTTGAAGTTTAGCTAAGGAAGACCTAGGCTTTGGTGTCAGTGTGAAAATAAACTTTTCTTCTGTGTGTAGGACAGCATGAGAATTTAAGTAATCATAACAAATGCACGACTCACTAAGTTCTGTGTCCTGTTCTAAATGCTTTATGTATATTAATTTATTTAATCCTTTTAATAACCCTATGAGGGCAGGTACTATTATCTCTATTTTACCAATGGGAAAATGGAGGCCTAGAGATATTAAATAGTTCTTAATTTAATATGGTTTAGTAAGAAATAAAGCCAGGATTCAAATAAGGAAGTTTGGTTTCAGAGTTTTTAGGCATAATCACTATGTTATATGGCCTCTCAAAAGCTAAAGCTTTTAGCCACAGATTACGTAGGAATCATCAGTTAAAAGACATATGCTATTCCCATGGTTCATGCCTACCCTTTAGTGTTCAATTTGGGTCTGAAAAATAAATTATTTTGGCCTTTTCCTAAATGACTTTAAAATCTATACCACACTACTAATTATACCAACTTATACTCTTTGATATGATTTTCCTTTTATTCTTTATATTTGAAATTCATATGTTCAATGAGCATTTTGAGTCTCCCATACCTAATGAAACTAGGCAATGAAACTATTAAAGATGGCCACATTTATTATCCAATCTTATTCTCCAAAGAATTATTTATTTTATTTTACTTTATTTTTTAATTATTTATTTTTGAGAGTGTCGGAGGCCACGCCGGCTCCGACAGGTCCAGGGGTCCCTGAAGGATGAACGGTGTCGGCGAAAGAGAGTGAGAGAGCCCCGAGATTCTTTCTGATCACCAGGCAGGCATCTCTGTCCTGTCGGTTTTTTGTGTCTTTATTTAAAGGTTCAGCAACAACATGAAGTCAGAGAAAGGAATTTCTACAATGGGAGGCCTTTTGCGATAACAAGTTTTTGATATTTTGCAGAATTATCTCAGTCATAGTGAATTTACAACCAAGGATGCTCTTAGTGATCAACAGGATAATATATAGGTTAGGTTGTATATAGATAAGCTAGGAGTCATTCTGTCTGGCTCTCAAGAGGATGAATGTTTCTGAATTGGTTTGTGTGTGGAAGCCATCATGGGGGCCCTAAATGTGTCCATCTTTGCACCTGGGTTTATGTTTTAGCTACTCTTATCTATCCTCATCCCAGTTGCCAGTGTAAGGGAGGGTGTTTGTGGAATGTAGGCCTTGAGGAAGGGACTGCCATACATCACCAATTAGTAAGTTATGTTCTGTACTTATCTGTACCTTAAGTATAAATTAGGCTCTTCTGATATGGGGCCAGGCTCAATAGTAACTATTGTGTTCTTAACCTCCTTTATTATCTAAGTCTTGGATCTGCAATGCCCATAGGAAGAGCCTTTTGACAATCGCCCATAGAGCTTTCATCTAAAGTCTCTTTTGTAAAGGCAGGAATATGCTTTTCCTTATGAGGTATTTGTATTCAGAATATGGGTCTGATATGGAATATTGGGAGGCCTAGTCAATACCAGCAGGCTCATTTCCACCATGAGCCAGTAGTAGCAAAAGGAGATATTAGTCTTCATTTCTCATGGCAGAAGCTGTGCAAACATTGCCATTTCCTTGCTGTGACTGCCATCCAGAGAGGCCGGTGCGGCTCCCAGCATGAGAGAGAAAGAGAGAGAGCAAAAATGGGGAGGGACAGAGAAAGAAAGAGATGCAGAATCCAAAGCAGGCTCCAGGCTCTGAGCTGTCAGCACAGAGCCCCATGTGGGGCTTGAACTCCCAAACTGTGAGATCATGACCTGACTTGAAGTCAGATGCTTAACTGACTGAATCACCTAGGTGCCTACAAAAGAATTGAATTTATTAAAATATTTGATTATTTAAAATTTTTTTAATGTTTATTTATTTTTTGAGAGGGGGGAGGGGCAGAGAGAGAGGGAAACACAGAATTTGAAGCAGACTCCAGGCTTTGAGCTGTCAGCACAGAGCCCGATGCAGGGCCTGAACCCACAAACTGAGATCATGTCCTGAGCTAACGTTGGACACTTAACCCACTGAATCACCCAGGTGCCCCTGTTTGTCTATTTTTAATGTTTATTTATTTTTGAGACCGAGAGATCGTGAGCAGGGGAGGAGCAGAGAGAGAGGGAGACAGAGAATCCCAAGCGGTCTCTGCATTGTCTAGAGCCCAACATGGAGCTTGAACTCAAGAACCATGAGATCATGATTTGTGCCGTAATCAAGAGTAGTATCTTAACAGACTGAGCTACCCAGGCACCCCTATTTATTTATTTATATTTGAGAGAGAGAGAGAGCAAGTGGGAGGGGCAGCAAGAGAGGGAGAGAGAGAAAATCTCAAGTTGACTTCTTGCTGTCAGTACAGAGTCTGACATGGGGCTCAATTTCATGAACAGTGAGATCATCACCTAAATCAAAATCAAGAGTCGGAGGCTTAACTGACTGAGCCACTCAGGTTGCCCTGTTTCAGAAAGATTTTGAGGTGCACCAAAATCTCTAACTGTCCCTTCTCTCACAGAATTTACAATCTGATGGAGACATTTATACAAATAATTACAATATGGTAAATGTCTGCTAATGGAGATGTTTCACAAATAACTTTTCCTTTGATCATAGTTTTAAAGCTTACCTGGTGGTACACTGAGGAAAGACAGAAAAGGAATATTGTCGGGGCGCCTGGGTGGCTTAGTCGGTTAAGCGTCCGACTTTCACTTAGGTCATGATCTCGCGGTTCGTGGGTTCGAGCCCCGTGTCGGGCTCTGTGCTGACTGCCAACTCAGAGCCTGGAGCCTGTTTCAGTCTGTGACTCCCTCTCTCTCTCTCTGACCTTCCCCTGCTCACGCTGTCTCTCTCTCTCTCCTAGAAATAAATAAAACATTAAAAAAAAAAAAAAGAAAAGAAAAGGAATATTGTCGGGGCGCCTGGGTGGCTTAGTCGGTTAAGCGTCCGACTTTCACTTAGGTCATGATCTCGCGGTTCGTGGGTTCGAGCCCCGTGTCGGGCTCTGTGCTGACTGCCAACTCAGAGCCTGGAGCCTATTTCAGAGTCTGTGACTCCCTCTCTCTCTCTCTGACCTTCCCCTGCTCACGCTGTCTCTCTCTCTCTCCTAGAAATAAATAAAACATTAAAAAAAAAAAAAAGAAAAGAAAAGGAATATTGTCTAGAGGCAGGAAAGCACAAAATAGCAGGACGTGGTTTGTGTGGCTGAAGAAAAGGGTAATTTTCTTGTGTGTTGAATACAAGTGGCCGAAAATGAGGTTGAAAAATGTAGGCAGAGGCCCTGTATAGCATTGTTTCTTTACTCTTAAAAATCTGTATTACATAAAACACTATTTCTTGTTTTTAGAAAAAAAATAAAGAAGTTAATTTTGAAGGAAAGAACTTAGAAAAACTTTCAGATGCCCCCAAAACCTCGAAAATGTCCAGTCCATTCTTACCTAAAGAAGAAACCAAGTTGCCAGAAATCGGACAAGGAAGCCAATTGGCTGACGAATTTAACAAAATGCAAGATCTTGTCTTCAAAAAACCTACAAGACAGACCATAATGTCTACAGAGACACTGAAAAAAATTCAGGTGGATAGGTAAGGAAGGAGATCATATTTGGAAATGTAATAGTGTATTTATTATGGATGAAAAATGGACGCAAGGGTGACTGACTGCTGTCTTCTCTTATGAATTGGTCATTATATGCAAAGCTACTACTGATAATGGGATTAGCTAAAGACTGCCCAGAGGAAATGTAGTACAATTGAAAGAATGGTGGCTATATGATCATGGGCAAGTTGTTGAGCCTTTGTTTCCAGTTTTTATATTTATTTTATTTATTTTTTTATATTTAGAGAAGGAGAGTGAGAGTGGGGAAGAGGGACAGAGGGGGAGAGACAATCTTAAGCAGGCTCCCCACTCCAAGCAGAGTCCAACTCAGGGATCAATCTCTAACTGTGATATGAAATCAAGAGTGGGAACTTAACCAGCTGAGCCACCCAGGTGCCCAGAGAATTTCTTAAAAGTAGTCTCAGTTTCCATTGTCTCAGTATTCAGTTTTTTGTTGTCAACTGGCTTGCTGACAAGCCTGTTAAGTTTAATAGTATAATACTATTATAAAAGCATAATATGGGGTGCCTGGGTTGCTCAGTTTGTTGATCATCCGATTTCAGCTCAGGTCATGATCCCATTGTTCTTGAGTTTGAGCCCCATGTTGGGCTCTGTGCTGACAGCTCAGAGCCTGGACTCAGCTTCAGATTCTATGTCTCCCTCTTTCTCTGCCCCTCCCCTGCTCACGCTCTGTCTCTGTCTCTCTCTCAAAAATAAATAAACATTAAAAAATTTTTTAATAAAATAAAAAATAAAAGAGGATGTAATGTGATAAGTATTGTTGGTAAATGAATGCTTAGAGCAATTATCCAGGGCCACTAGCCAAATGCAGCCTGTGGTCTGTTTTTGAAAATAAATTTTATTGGAATATAGCATTGCTCATTTGGTTACATATTGTCTATTGTTTTCATACTACAACAGCAGAATTGAGTAGTTGCAACAGAGAATTTATGGCTTGCAAAAAAAAATTTATTTTATTTATATTTATTTATTTTATTTTATTTTATTTATTTATATTTATTTATTTGTCCTTTTATAGGAAAACCTTTCAATCCCTCCATCAGAGGGGTAATGTTTCTTGTCTTTATTTTCTTTCATAGTTTATTGTCAAGTTGGTTTCCATGTAACACCCAGTGCTCATCCCAACACGTGCCTTCCTCCATGCCCATCACCCCCCTTCCCCTCTCCCCCACTCCCATCAGCCCTCAGTTTGTTCTCAGTATTCAAGAGTCTCTCATGGTTTGCCTCCCTCCCTCTCCCCAACTGTTTTTCCCCTTCTTCTCCCCCATGGTCCTCCGTTAAGTTCCTCCTAATCCACCTGTACGTGCAAACATATAATATCTGTCCTTCTCTGCCTGACTTATTTCGTTCAGCATAACACCCTCAAGTTCCATCCACGTTGCTACACTTGGCCAGATTTCATTCTTTCTCATTGCCATGCGGTATTCCATTGTATAGATAAACCACATCTTCTTGATCCATTCGTCAGTAGATAAACACTTAGGCTCTTTCCATGTATTGGCTATTGTTGAGAGTGCTGCTATGAACATTGGGGTCCATGTGCCCCTATGCATCAGCACTCCTGTGTCCTTTGGGTAAATTCCTAGCAGTGCTATTGCTGGGTCATAGGGGAGTTCTAGTGTTAATTTTTTGAGGAACCTCCACACTGTTTTCCAGGGGTGGCTGCACCAGTTTCCATTCCCACCAACAGTGTAGGAGGGTGTGCATTTCTCTACATCCTCGCCAGCATCTAGAGTCCCTGTTTGTTCATTAATGTTTCTTGTTAAAATCAATCTGGCTCGGATTTGTATACATGACAGAAAGGTATCCAGCTTATAAACACCCAGTCTTGTTAATGTCCTTTTCAGTCTCCATGTGATGGCTTATATCTTTTCAATTGTTTTTTTTTACTTTGGTGTAGTAACTTTTTTCTTAGTATAGTTTTTGAATCTTTTTCTTTGAACTGTTGTTAATAAATTATTATGTAAAATAGTGAGTGTAACTCTTGCTGACTCTATATCAAAACATTAAATAGCAGTTTTTAAAATTCTCTACCCATGAGAATATTATAAACAACAATGGACTAGGAGTCAGGAAACCTGAATTATATGGTTATACTTCTTTCTCAAATTAGTTATGTGAACTTAGGCAAGGTATTTAAACTTCCTGAGCCTGGGTTTACTCATCTCTAAAATGTGAGGGTTTTATTAGCTCTTTAAAAAATTTTTTGAATTATTTATTTATTTTTGAGAGAGAGAGATGAGGCACCCAGGTCTCTGTTGGTTGAGCGTCTGACTTCGGCCTAGGTCATGATCTCATGTCTCATGGGTTCAAACCCCACATTGGGCTCTGTGCTGATGGCTCAGCTTTGGAGTCTGTGTCTCTCCTCCCTTCCCCCATTCACATTCTGTCTCTCTCCCTCTCTCTCAAAAATAAACAAACATTAAAAAAAATAAAATAAATAATAAAATATAAAACGCAGCAAAATATAATTTTGAGGGAGAAGACAGAGAAGAGAGCAAGCAGGGAAGGGGCAAAGAGAGGGGGACAGAGGATCCAAAGTGGGCTCTGTGCTGACAGGCTGACAGCAGCAAGCCGATGGGTGGCTTGAATTCACAAACTGTGAGATCATGACCTGAGCCAAAGTTAGATGTTCAACTGACTGAGCCACCCAGGTACCCCCAAATGCAGAAGAATATAAATAATGAAATAATGAATACTTAAATGTGTGTAAACACCAAATCTTAACATTTTACCATGATTGCTTTAGCATTTTTTTCTTAAGAATTTATTTTATTTTATTTTAAAGGTTTATTTCTGAGAGATAGAAAAAAAAGAGAGAGAAAGAGAGAGAAAAACGGGCACAAGTGGGGGAGGAGCAGAGATAGAGGGGGACAGAAAATCCAAAGTGGGCTGTGGGCAGACAGCAGCAAGCCCAATGTGAGGATCGAACTCACGTACCACAGGATCTTGACCTGAGCTGAAGACAAATGCTCAACAGACCAACAGGCACCCGTGTTTGAAGCCTCAGATGCTAGTCTCCCTCACTCTTCCCCCAAAGATGAACTCTATTCTGATTACGGTGTTTATTATTCTGTTATGTATTGTGATACTTTCATTAGGTATGTATGTGGTTTATTTAAACAGTACATATAGTTTTAAATGATTTTTTTTTTAATGTTTATGTTTGAGAGAGAGAGAGCGCATGTGAGCCAGCAGGGGAGGAGCAGAGAGAGGGGAACAGAGGATCCTAAGTGGATTCCACATTGTCAGCTCAGGCGCCACATGAACATGTGAACTGAGATCATACCCTGAGTTGAAGTTGAATGCTTAACAGCCTGAGCCACCCAGGCACCCCTAGTTTTACATGTTTTTAAATATTGTATAAATAATATCATACTGTACATTCAATGTTTGTTAGTACTTGGTATGTAAACTTGATCCGGTTAAGGAAGTTCTCTTATATTTCTAGTTTGCTAAGAGTTTTTGATGTTTATTTTTAAATGAATGGGTATTGATTTTTGCCAAATGCCTTTTCTGCCATCTCTTGTGATAGTCATGCTTTTTTTTCTCCTTTTGCCTTTGTTTATGTGATGAATTCTAGTAATAGACTTTCTTCTTGGTTTATTTATTTTTGAGAGAAAGCATGAGCGGGGGAGAGGCAGAGAGAGAGGAAAAGAGAGACCATCCCAAGCAGGCTCCACATTGTTAGCCTGGAGCCCGAAACAGGGCTCTATGTGGGGCCCAATGTGGGGCTTGAACCCATGAACTGTGAGATCATGACCTGAACCTAAGTTGGATGCTTAACTGACTGAGCCACCCAGGCGCTGCTCCATTAATAGACTTCCTAATGTTAAACTATTCTTGCATTCCAGGAATAATTCCAACTTAGTTCTGATTTTCATTCCAGATCTTAATTTGTGTGACTTCTGTAACCCTTTGTAAACATAAGAAAATTTATCTCATTAACTCATCTTTCTTGTTTCTCTTATAGGCAGTTTTTCAGTGATGTAATTACGGAAACCATGCAGGAGCTGCAGCAGTCAGGCACTTTCACCAGTCTCCTGGAAGCTTTGGGCAAAGAGAGGGAAAACAAAATGCATTTCTATGATAGTATTGCCAGGTCTGAGTAGTATCAGATTTATTTGCTATACTGTATTTTAAAGTGCTATAAAACTTTTTTTTAAATTTTTATTTATTTCTAGGAGAGAGAGAGGGACAGCGTGAGCAGGGGAGGGTCAGAGAGAGAGGGAGACACAGACTCTGAAATAGGCTCCAGGCTCTGAGCTGGCAGTCAGCACAGAGCCCGATGTGGGGCTCGAACCCACGAACTGCGAGATCATGACCTGAGCCGAAGTCAGACGCTTAAACGACTAAGCCACCCAGGAGCCCGCCACCCAGGCACCCCTTAAAGTGCTATAAAATTTTCACCAGAAGTCCTTGATTTCTAAAGCAAATCAAATTTGGGGCCTTCCAGGGAAGATAAATAGAACTCAGAAATTATGGTTCTAATCTTGGGACAATAATTAATATTTCTGGGCTTCAGTTATGTGTATCTACAATATGTCAATAATATTCTTCCATTACAAACTGAGGGTTGATGGGGGGAGATGGGAAGGGGAGTGATGGGCATGGAGGAAGGCACTTGTTGAGCTGAACACTGGGTGTTATATGGAAAACAACTTGACAATAAACTATGAAAGAACAAAAAAGAATATTCTTCCTATTATACAGTAATCTTTCTTTTTTTAAAATTTTAATTCAAGTTAGTTAACATATAGTATTCTATTAGTTTTAGGTGCACAGTATAGTGATTCAACAATTCCACAGTCATCCTGTGCTGATCATAACAAGTGCACTCCTTAATTTCTCTCACCTATTTCATCTATCCCCCCCACCTCCCTTCTGGTAACCATCAGTTTGTTCTCTATACTTAAGAATCTGCTTCTTGGTTTGTCTCTTTCTCCCCGTCTCTCTCTCTTTTTTTTTTTCCTTTGGTGGTTTTTTGTGTTTCTTAAATTCCACATAAGTGAAATCGTATGATATTTGTCTTTCTCTGACTGACTTGTTTTGTTTAGTAGTATACTCTCTAGCTCCAATGGCAAGATTTCATTATTTTTATGGCCAAATAATATTCCCTTGTATATATACCACATCTTATCTGTTTATTTATCAATGGGCACTTGGCTTACTTCCATATCTTGGCTATTGTAAATAATGCTGCTATAAACATAAGGGTGCATGTATCCCTTCTGAATTAGTGTTTTTGTGATCTTTGGGTAAATACCCAGTACTACCATTACTGGATCATAGTGTAGTTCTATTTTTAACCTCTATACAGTTTTCCACAATGGCTGCATCAGTTCACATTCCCACCAGCAGTTCAAGAGGGTTTCTTTTTCTCCACATCCTTGGCCAACACCTGTTGTTTCTTGCGTTGTTGATTTCAGCCATTATGACAGGTATGAAGCGATATCTCATCGTAGTTTTGATTTGCGTTTCCTTGATGTTAAGTGTTATGAACATCTTTTCATGTGTCTATTGGCCATCTCATGTCTTCTTCTGAAAATGTTTGTTCATGTCTTCTGCCCATTTTTTAACTGGATTATTTGGGTTTTGGGTGATGAGTTTTTACAAGTTCTTTTTATATTTTGGGTACCAGCCCTTTATTGGATATGTCATTTGCAAATATATTTTCCCATTCTGTAGGTTACCTTTTGGTTTTGTTGATTGATCAAATTTTGCTTTTTGTTTCCCTTGCCTCAGGGGACCTATCTAGGAAAAGTTGCTACAGCCAGTGTCAGAGAAGTTACTGTCTATGTTTTCTGTGTGCTCTTCTAGGATTTTTCTGGTCTCACATTTAAGTCTTTAATCCAGTTTGAATTTATTTTTGTAGATAGTGTAAGAAAGTGAGCAAATTTATTTCTTTTGCATGTTTCTGTCCAGTTTTCCCAAGGCCATTTGTTGACGAGACTGTCCTTTTTCCATTGGGTTTTCTTTTCTGCTTTGTCAAAGATTGACTGACCAAATAATTTTGGGTTTATTTCTGGGTTTTCTATGCTGTTTCATTGATCTGTGTATCTAGTTTTGTGCCACTACCATACTGTTTTGATTACTATAGCTTTGTAATATAACTTCAAGTCCAGAATTGTGATGCCTGCCGCTTTGCTTTTCTTTTTCAAGATTTCTTTGGCTATTTGGAGTCTCTTGTGATTCCAGAAAAATGTTAAGATTGTTTATTCTGGTTCTGTGAAAAATGCTGCTAGCATTTTGATAAGGATTGCATTAAATATGTAGATTGTTTTGGGAAATATAGACACTTTCACAGTATTTATTCTTCCAATTATGAGCATAGTATGTCTCCATTTCTTGGTGTCGTCTTCAATTTATTTCATCAGTGTTTTATACTTTTCAGAGAACAGATCCTTCACCTCTTTGGTTAGGTGTATTCCTAGGCATCTCATTATTTGGGGTTCACTTGTAAATGGGATTGTTTTCTTAATTTCTGTTTCTGTTACTTCATTATTGGTGTATGGAAATGCAACAGATTTCTGTACATCAATTTTTTTTTAATTTTTTTTTTTATGTTTTATTTATTTCTGAGAGAGAGAGAAAGACACAGCATGAGCAGGGGAGGGTCAGAGAGAGAGGGAGACACAGAATCTGAAAACTTTTTTTCAGCTCCAGGCTCTGGGCTGGCAGTCAGCACAGAGCCCGATGTGGGGCTTGAACCCACGAACCGCGAGATCATGACCTAAGCCGAAGTTGGACACTTAACCGACTGAGCCACCCAGGTGCCCCTCTGTACATCAATTTTGTATCCTGCCACTTTATTAAATTTGTTTATCAGTTTTAGCAGTTTTTCGGTGTAGTCTTTTGGTTTTTCTGTATAGTACCTGTCATCTGCAAATAGTGAGTTTTACTTCTTCCTTACTGATTTGGATGCCTTTACAGCAATCTTTGAATTCACTGAAAAAACCTGAACAACAGCAGGTGATAATAATAAAAAGCATGCCAATGGAAGTTTTCTTTTCTAGACCCTTTCAACTAATTCCAAAGAGTTTCATACCTTTAGAAATTGAGCACAATCAGATGATTTTAGGACCAAGATAAAATTCTTCTTGGAGCGCCTGGGTGGCTCAGTCAGTTAAGCATCTGACTTCGGCTCAAGTCATGATCTCACGGTTTGTTGGTTCGAGCCCCGCTTCGGGCTCTGTGCTGACAGCTAGCTCAGAGCCTAGAGCCTGTTTCAGATTCTGTGTCTCCCTCTCTCTCTGACCTTCCTCTGCTTATGCTGTGTGTGTGTGTGTCTCTCTTTCAGAAATAAATTTTAAAAAAATTAAAAAAATTCTTCTTATATGAAGTTTCAGTACTCAGAATGAGAGTTTTTATCTTGTTTGCATAGATGGAATTGTATTTCCTTGAGTTATTTTCTCTTCCTTTTACCTTAGTATTGGTAATAAATTCTGTACTAGGGATTTTCTTTTTTTTTTTTTTTTTTGAGAGAGGGAAGGAGAATGTGCATATAAGCAAGGGAGGAGAGAGAGGGAGAGAAAATCCCAAGCAGGCTCCATGGGGCTTCATCTCCATTGATCCTAAGATCATGATCTGAACTGAAATCAAGGTTGGACACTTAACCTACTGAGCCACCCAGACATCCCTGTACTAAGGATATTTTGACAGTTATATTAATTAACACATGTACAGACTTAAGATAGTTCTTAGCGCATAGTAAGTACCCAATAATAATAACAGCTAGTACTGTAGACTTAACATTGTAAGTACATTGCTGATGGGAGAATGAATTGGTATAATGTTTAAAAATCATTTACTTATGAAAAACAAAAATACATGTACTTAATTTTAATTTTATAATATTCACTATGATATATGTACTATTCCATAATTTATTCAACCATTCCTTGAATTTAACATTTAGGTTGTTTCAAAATTTTTGCTTTAGCAAATGATGTGTCAGTGTTTTTCTTTGTACATAAATATACAACAGCAAATGTCTGATCTATTATTATCCCATGAGGTTCAGTCACTACATGTAGAATTACTGAATCAAAGAGAGTCTATACTTTAATGGATAATATAAATCTGTTTAAAGTATTGTTTACAGAGTTTTAACGTGGGGGAAATGTTTATATCACAATTGTTTTCTTTGTGTATGTGAGAAATGGGGTTGGGGGAGAGAGAGAGATCGTGAGTGGGGGAGGAGCAGAGGGAGAGGGAGAGAGAGAATCCCAAGCAGACTCCACACCCAGCATGGAGCCCAACACGGAGCTCAATCTCAACCATGAGATCATGACCTGAGCTGAAATCAAGAGTTGGATGCTAAACCAACTGAGCCAGCCAGGTACCTCTATGTCACAATTTTAAATAGAAAATGAAAGGCTGGAAATAATATAGTTTTATCATATCTATATAATAAAACTAAAATAATCACATCTATATAATAAAACTTAAAAAAATGCATAGAAAATGAGAACTGGAAGGGCACCTGGCTGGCTCAGTCTGTTAAATGTTAGTCTTTGGTTTGTGAGTTCAAGCCCTGCATTGGGCTCTCTTCTGTCAGCTCGGAACCTGCTTTGGATCCTCTGTCCCGCTCTCACTGCCCCTCCCCTGCCTGTTCTCTCTCTCTCAAAATAAAATAAAGTTAAAGAAAAAAAAAAAGAAAATGAGTACTGGAGGCTCCTGGTTCAGTCAGTATATGTACATATATTCAAAATATTTATTATAAAAAAAAAAAAATATTTATTATAGCATAATGGTAAAAATCTAGAAATAGCATAAATGTCCTTTAATAAAGGAGTTCTCAAATGATTGTTAATTTTAGGAAATAAGAAACATGCAGCTACTAAAAAGAATAAATTAGAGCTCTATGATTGATCTAGAGGAATGTTCTTCATATACAGATAAATGAAAAAAGTTACAGTATTATGTGTGTAATATGACTCTTATTTAAAAAAAAACTCATCCATATATGTAAGAGCATAGAGAAAGATGTGGAAGGAAATATATAAAAAGATTTAACATTGATTACATCATAAGAGTGAATCGGAGGGGAGAAGGGAGATGGCAGATTGTCCATCTTTTCCTGTAAGTGCCTGTTCAGTTTGGAATACTACAGTGTTGCACTTATTACTTGGTAATATCAAAAACAGTTAATCAGGTAAGAAAAATAAAAGGGCATTTGGGTGGCTCTGTCAGTTAAGCATTCAACTTTAGCTAGGGTCATGATCTTGCTGTTTGTGAGTTTGAGCCCCACGATGGGCTCTGTGCTGACAGCTCAGAGCTTGGAGCCTGCTTCAGATTCTGTGTCTCCCTCTCTCTCGATTCCTCTCCACCACCACCCCCCCACTCTGTCTCTCTCTCTCCAAAATAGATAAAGATTTTAAAAAATTCTTTAATTAAAAAAAAGTTAGAAAAACAAAAATGAAATATGTACCACTATTTGGGAGGGAGTAAATAATCTCAATGTAGACAGTTTACCAGTGATTGATTTTACATATGTGATTATATATAATAATTTCTTCTTTTAATATTTCTTCCAATTAGGCATCAATTTAGATTTACTTAAGTTGGAAAATTATATGTAGATTTGGGCAAATCAGTTACATATTGTTTAGTATTTTAACTATTGTATGATTGGCACGTTTATCATCACGTTTTTTTTAATGTTTTATTTATTTTTGAAAGAGAGAGAAAGAGCGTGAGCAGGGGACGGCCAGAGAGAAAGGGAGACACAGAATCCGAAGACAGGCTCCAGAGCCCGACATGGGGGAGCTAACCCATTAACCGTGAGATCATAACCTGAGCCAAAGTCGGACACTCAACCAACTGAGCCACCCAGGCGCTCCCATTTGTCATCACATTTAGTGATGGATATAAGATAGACAAGATACTCTATTTAGTTCCTTTTTTAAAAAAATTTTTTTAAATGTTTTATTTCTGAGAGAGAGAGAGACAGCATGAGCAAGGGAGGGTCAGAGAGAGAGGGAGACACAGAATCTGAAGCAGGCTCCAGGCTCTGAGCTGGCTGTCAGCACAGAGCCCAATGCAGGGCTCGAACCGATGAACCGTGAGATCATGACCTGAGCCGAAGTCAGATGCCTAACCAACTGAGCCACCCAGGTGCCCCTGTTTAGTTCCTTGAATAAGAGCTTTATTGAGATAAAATTTATATACTGTTAAAGAAATTATTTAGACACATGTCAAAATGGGTAATGAAGGCTTTATTCAGGATTATGAGAGAAATTAGGTTTAACTCTGAAGAGGGGGTCAGTGGATGAAAAATTACTAAGAGACATAAAGAGTAGAGGATTCTTACTAAACTAACAGGATTCTTGCTGAAAGCCCGTTAAAGGCTTAGATATAGGGTATGGAATGAGGAATTTGACCAGATATCCAGGGAGATCAGATGTTGAGGGTGGGAGATTCTCTCTAAACTGATTTAGCAGAAGTCTTGCTAAACCAGGTTATGCAGGCTGAAGACAAGGACAGTGGCCAAGGGCAAGACCTCATAGAGAAGAAGGCTCAGAGGAGCCTGATTAGTTTGGTCAAGGAGAGAGTCTTTGTTAATACCAAACATTTATCTTTTCAACGTGTACAATTTTGTGGTGGTGATTTTTGGTATATTCACAGTTATGCAACCGTCACCACTATCTAATTCCAGAACATTCTCATCATTCCAGAAAAGAAAGCCTGTACTCATTAGTACTCACTCTCCATCCCTCTCTTCTCAGCTCCTCTGTTTAGTTTTAAGTGAAGCTTCTCTTCTTGGTAATTATCTTCACTATACAATAAAATCTTACAAAATAATAAGAAAAACACCAGTATATAAAATAGAAAAATGGGTAAAAGACAAGTGTAATGAGTGAGCCCTGGAGAAAGCCCCACGTAGGGCCTGGTATGAAATGATTTTTCCTTCTTCTAGGAGCAGGTGTGAAAGACAAATCTAGACATGCTTAAAGTATGCATTCTACCTGTGAGATGTGTGCATTTCTGCCCCTGAGTAAGAATTAATATCATGTAAAAATCCTCTGCTTAAACTCCTTTTGGTTAGGAATCATTCTCACTTAAAAAAAATTTTTTTTTGTAGGGGCACCTGGGTGGCTCAGTCAGTTAGGCGACCAACTTCAACTCAGGTCACAATCTCACAGTTTGTGGGTTCGAGCCCTGTGTCGGGGTCTGTGCTGACAGCTTGGAGCCTGGAGCCTGCTTCAGATTCTGTGTCTCCCTCCCTCTCAGGCCCTCCCCAACTTGTGCTCTGTCTTTCTCTCTCAAAAATAAATAAACATTAAAAAAACTTTTTTAAAATAAAAAAATAAATTTTTTTTATATGATCTCTATACCCAACATGGGGCTCGAACTCACAACCTCAAGATCAAGAGTTGCGTGCTCTTCTAACCGAGCCAGCCTAGCATCCCATTACTTATTTTTTAATATGTGTCCTACTTCTTTATAATTCAGGGGAGACAGATGCTTTTCACTTATACTCCCTATAGTTGGAGACCTATCTGTAAGACACATTCTCATGTCCATCACAGCCACTTACCTCAGCCCTCTAAGCCACACTTTCCTCCTCTGTAAAATAAGGGGATGATAGAGACTACCTTCTAAGATTATTATGAGGCAAGAATATGGAAGTGTTCAGAATTGAAAGTATTCTTCTTTTTCCCCTTCCTTTTCCTTCTCCTCTTAGCATTTTCTCAGCAGCAGCTATTTTAGATACAACACATAAACCAGAAACATCCTCCTCTGGTTTACTAAAACAAATCACTATCTTGTAAAGTGTTACTAAAAGTGTATTCCATGGACCAGTACCATTAGCAACATCCGAGAGCTTGTTAGAAATGCAAATTCCAGGGCTCCATCCCACACCTACTGAATCAGAATCTCTGAGGTAGAGCCCAGCCCAGGAATCTGTTTTTTAAGATTAGTGTTGATCCTTGTGCACACTAGAGTTTGAGTAGCACCTCTCTAAACAAAGTATTCTTAATCCTTCTAGGGAGGAAAAAGGAAGAAAACAGATAAGATCACTTCAAAAACAGCTACTTAATGTCAAAAGAGAACGGCATGCTGAAATACAGGTAAGAATTACCGGGCCAACACCAAAATTTACTGAGCTGAAACAGCTATATAGAAGCCATCTTTCTTCCCTTCCCTTCCCTTCCCTTCCCTTCCCCTCCCTTCCCTTCCCTTCCCTTCCCTTCCCTTCCCTTGCCCTTCCCTTCCCTTCCCTTCGAAGGTGGGATGTCTGTCTGTATAAACCCTTGAAGTTTCACTACTTCAAAAAACAAGCTCTCCCTTTTACCACAAACCTTGGATCTGTACCTGACCAAATTGTCCCTCCCCCATTTTATATAGGCAAAAGCACACAGGTACACTTGACCAACACTGGCCAGCCACTCAAGTAGACAGGTCAGTTCTGTGTTACTTGTGGACAAAGGCATAGACTATCAGATCCTGTAGGAAACAGGATTTAGGAAACACGATTTCTCCCTCCACCTTGAAAATAAAATACACTTCAGGGAATGCATGAAATAGTTTAGCGGGGGATCCCTAGGAAGATGGTCCATTGTCAGACTCTTCTCCATCAGCCTGTGCATCCAAAATTCTTCCTTAGGTAACATGGATGGCTTTTTATTTTATTTATTTATTTATTTTTAAACAGTCTTTCTTGCTGTAAGAACCCTTATAATGGAGACTAGTCCTTCTCCTGCTAGTGCCTTTTGTGCCACTGGAGTAACACTGTGCTGTTTTGTGTGGGCTTCTCAAATTCTCTTTATGCTGGGAGCTGCACTGGCCTCGCTGGATGACAGTCACAGTGAAGAAACGGTAGCGTTTGCACAGCTCCTGCCATGAGAAACAAAAACTGGTATCTCCTTCTGCTATTACTGACTCATGTTGGAAATGAGGCTGCTGGTATTGACCAGGCCTCACAATATTCCAGATCAGATTGATATTCCCCACACAGATTGTTCATAAGGAAAGGCATATTCCTGCCTTTTCCAAAGAGATTTCAGATGAAAACATTGTGGATGATTGGTAAAAGGCTCTTCCTAAGGGCCTTGCAGATAATAAAGGGACTTTATAATAAAAGGACTTACATAATAAAGGGAGCTTGAGTCTGGCCCTGAGACAAAGAGCCTAATTTAGAGTTAAGGGCCGATATCCACCCCCACCCAATTGTTTCTGCCTGGAGCACTAGCTGCCCCACCTCAAGACATTTGTTATCAAGTATTTGGAGTGACTTATTCTGGCCTTAAATATGCTGATTGCTCCCTGTGGAGGAACCTATTGAGGAATTTCTTTTGTGATTATGGGAGCAAAGGTGTTCTCCTGAAAGACCTGTTTGACCCCTGCTCACAGAGAAGTAACCTCACCCTTTTATGCTAAAAACATTGTCTGGTATGCTAAAGATGCCTTCCTTCCTCATGAGATAAGCATCTAATCACCTACCTCAATCACTATTGATAAAGGTTATGCATTAGTCTTCTACAAATCTATGTTCCGGGTAATTCTTACATATCAAACAAGTTTGTTACCAGAAACCATTGTCTAAGGCAAATGCCACTTCTCTGCCGCCCCCAAACACTTAATGATAAAAAAGTTGAGCCCCAGTCAGAGCGGAGATGCCTGCCTGGTGATCAGAAAGGATCTCGGGGCTCTCTCACTCTCTCCCTCGCCGACACCGTCCATCCTTCAGGGACCCATGGACCTGCCAGAGCCGGCCTCTGACATCTTTATAAATGTACTTCATTAGCGAGTCAGTGCCATTTCTGTCCAGTGACTGCACAACCTGCTCAGTTTCTCTGCTTTTAAAATTTGTAAGCACTTTCAGCACCACGTCTTGGGCTTGTTCTTTCAGGGCCTGATTCTTGGCGTTGACAGGAGAGCTCTCCAAGGCTGCATGGAATGCCCGAAGAATGTCCCCTTGCCGCAGAAGGCTGTCCACCTCGCTAGGGTCTGGGCCTGGCTCACAAGCCATCTTTCTTAAGCAAAGAAAAATTATATATGAGATATTGTTTCCCCTGGGATGCCTTTACTACTGAAAATATAAAGAGAGTAGCTCGAGAGTGGGACAGAATAGGACTCAGGGATACCCTAACGCTCTAGAACCCTTAGTCTGTTCTTACCCCTCCCATCTCACTCAGTCACACCCCCCCACACCCACCCCTTCCCTACAGGATACCTTGTCTCTTGTGTTGCAGTATCCCAGCTGGGAGACTGCAGTCCTAGAAAGGACATTAAGCACGTTATAAAACCTTTTATACACAATGGTTAGGTTTAGTAATGTCATCTGTATTACATTTCAAGTACAGAGTGGATTTAATGAGCTTTTATGGTCATTAGAACCTAATCTTATATCTCATTAACTTCTATAAGAAAATGCATCCCAAGTTTTAAGCAATAGACTTGTAAAACAATGCTTGGACTACAGCCTAGGCAGTTAGAAATTAGTTCTGTTAGGATGACTAACACTATTAGCAGTTTAGAAAGTTACAAAATATGACTTAACAGCAGCTTTTGCCTACCTATTTGGACAAGCTTCAGATCAGGGAAATCTTCATTATTACCTTATATAGAAGTTAGAAGACTTTAAAAAATATATTTTGAAGAACTGTCTAAAAAAGGTCATTAGCCTTTCTTCTAAGACACTATCTTTAGGTTTTCTGAACAAATTGCTTAACATTCTCTCTTCTTTTTAATTTTTCCCCCCTCCCCAACATCCTCTCTTATTTTCCATTTACTAAGTACGAAGTACCTTTGGTAGTGATTTTTACATCATTATTCCTGTTAACCCTCTGCTTATAGCTTACATTAAAATTTTTTTTAATATTTATTATTTTTGAGAGAGTGTGAACAGGGGAGGAGCGGGAGGGGGAGGGTTACACAGAATACGAAGCAGGCTTCAGGCTCTGAGCTGTCAACATAGAGCCCAATGCGGGGCTCCAACTCCCAAACCGTGAGATCATGACCTGAGCTGAAGTCAGATGCTCAATTGACTGAGCCACCCAGGTGCCCCTAAAAAAATGTTTTTAATGTTTATTTAGTTTTGAAAAAGTCAGAGCGTGAGCAGGGGAGGGACAAAGAGAGAGGAAGATGTAGAATCTGAAGCAGGTTCCAGGCTCCAGTCATCAGCACAGAGCCCGACATGGGGCTGGAACCCATGAGACAGACATGAGATATAACCTGAGCCAAAGTCAGATGCTTAACCTACTGAGCCACCCAGCTGCCCCTGTAGCTTACATTTTTTGAGAAACATTTTTCTTTTCTAGAGAGCTTCACAAAACCTGTATATGCTTAGGTTTTCTCTCTAATGAAAGATTTTTTTCAGAGGTTTCTTAGCTTTTCCCCCTAAACAACTCTCCCATTATTTAAAAACTCCTCTTGCATTTCTTGACTATAAAAATGAAAGATATTTATGTGAATTTCCTTTTAAGCATCCAAATCAGACAGTATCAAAAGAAATCTCTGGCTTGGCACTCTGCTAGTTAACTCCCCTATGTTACAATTACAACCACTTTTTTTTCTCTTTCTTTGAACACTTTTTGATGAAATAGAATTTTTCAGGCAACATCTATACTTGCTTGTGAAATTTATCCTCTTGGTGATATATTAGTCATTACACTCAAATAAAGTAAAACTAAAGCAGAATATCACTCATATATTTTGATCATCAACAAAGGAATGAACCGGGACTAGAAGATCCAAGGAAAACCTTGGAGCAAAAAAGCTATCAAGATGGAATCTAGTTAAATCCCTAGAATTACTTAAAAACCAGTGATCAAGTCCAAGTTGGAAAATAAGAAGACAGTTAGAAATACATGAATACTAGAAACCTATGGGTCAAAAAATTATGCCAGCATTTAGGATGGTAGGTTTGTGTATTTGAAAGTGTGAATGGTGGTCACTAGAATGTGCGAGATCAATTGCCTTAGATAGAAAGCTTCCTGTTGGGTCCCCAGGCAAAAAGAAAATCACAAAAGAAAAAAAAAAAAAAACCAGGTTGCTATCAGACTTTTTAACAGCAGCATACAAAGCCAGATAACAGTGGAGCTGCATTTTCATGAAGCTAATAGGGGAAAAAAGAAAGAACCAAGATCAATATATAAAAATCAGTTTATCTGTTTCATATATTGGCAGCAGATACACATATACATAATTTGTATATGTATGCAAATATATAATAGCATAAAAATATCAATGAATAGGGGCACCTGGATAGCACAGCTGGTTAAATGTCTGACTTCAGCTCAGGTCATGATTTTGAGGTTCATTCAGGAGTTCAAGCCCCACATTGGGCTCCACACTTTCAGTTTGGATTCTGTCTCTCCCTCTCTTTCTCTTTACCCCTCTACCACTTGCACATGCTTGTTTTCTCTGTCTCAAAACAAATAAATAAACTTTAAAAAATGAATAGAAATGAATTCAAGAACAATAACAAAATGTGCAAGACTTCTTTGCAGAAAACTGTAAAGCACTAGGAAAAAAGTAATACTTACGTGGAGAGATATACTATGTTTATGGATTGGATATACTATGTTTGTGGATCACTCAATATCATAAAGCTGTCAATTCTTCCAAAATTAAGAGCTACATTGAATTCAATCCCAGTCAGAATTCTCATTGGATTTGTTAATTCATTTACTCACTTATTTGTGTGAAACTTGTTAAGCTGATTTTAAAATTCATATTGAAATGTCAAGCATCAAAAATAAGACATGGGTTGGGGCGCCTGGGTGGCTTAGTCGGTTGAGCGTCCGACTTTCGCTTAGGTCATGATCTCGTGGTTCGTGGGTTCGAGCCCTGCGTCGGGCTCTTTGCTGACTGCCAGCTCAGAGCCTGGAGCCTGTTTTAGTCTGTGACTCCCTCTCTCTCTGACCCTCCCCTGCTCACGCTGTCCCTCTCTCTTTCTCTCCTGGAAATAAATAAAAAAATATTAAAAAAAAAAAAAGACATGGGTGCATGAGTGACTCAGTTGAGCGTCCAACTTGATTTCAGGTCAGGTCATGATCCTAGGGTCATGGATTGAACACTGCATTGGGCTCCCCACTGAGCATGGAGCCTGCTTAAGATCTCCATC